TTCGAAAAATGCCTGTACCAAGTCAGATTATGACAGTTGTTTTCCATTCGTTCCGTTGGTTTGATTTTCACATTTTGGGTATATATACACGGGACAAAGTCTTAATGAAATCTTAAAAAAATAAACACATATTACTGTTTCTGCTGTTCCTCATCTTGAAGCTTATGTAAGATCTTCAACAATAAAGTCAATATAATTTCTCAAGTCAGCAATCTCAAGACGACTAACCCCTATAATTCATGTCAATTATAATTTTATCATCATTCATCCCTGATCGAATTTTGATTTGGATCCTATTTTCTGACAGCCCGTTAATCTGACAGCACACAAAAAGTAGTTGCACAGGGTATTTGAGTTACAAGCATACAAACAGTCAGAATCAATTTGTGTCAACGATCTTCAAAATCTTATTTCGAAAGTTCAGATAGCGCAAAGATCAAGTTTTAATTATTGTAATCCACTGTATATAAGAAAAAAAACGTCAACACTTCAAATGAAGTAAATTTCGGGATCCTCATGGAGCATTTCATTCATTTTAATTATGTCATATATGATAGAACACGGTAATAATGGTATGCGGCCATCGTGCTTCCCTTTGCCTTTATCGGTCGTCCCACTGTCTGTATCACTTTGCTCAGCTCTTAAGAAAATTACAAATAACGGCTTTGTGACGTCAAATATGTTGACCCGGCCTTAATAACTTTGACACGAGCATATCACCGACGTCATAATGAATGAACCGACGTTGATAAGTTTGAACCGAACTTATCAAGCCATCTTCCGGTTTGCTGGTGAAACAAAGAAAACACTTGTTTCTATCATAAAAAATACGGAAATACAATTCGATAAATCGAATATCTGGTTGTGTGCATATTTATGTTGTAAAGTATCAGCTGCTCGACACAATGTGAAGCGTTTTTGCTCGTTCGCTGCGCTCACTCTCCAAAAAGGTTCATATTGTGTATCGCAGCTGATATATTACGATATCAATGAGTAGAAACCCCGGTAATCTATACATATAGTTATTTACTAACACAATTACGTTTAATTTTGATTTAAACTAAAACTTTTACCCCCCAAAAATGAAAGGAAAAAGTACGCCAATATTATATTACAATACTAAAAGAGGTAGGACCAGTTTTCCATAAAATTATTACACACTTAAGTCCTTTTTAAAAGGTCTTTAAATCTGTATAAAAATCATCACATCTATACTTTGATGTTTTATACAACATTATGTGATATTTCTGAACCTTTATTAACCAGAGTATAAAACCTTTAAGTGGTTTGCTTAAAAATTGTAATTTTGGTAGATGTTGGAAATTTGATAGATGAATTAAAAGGTCACAAAAGCCAAAACCAAAGTTGTGGGGGAAGTATAGGTAACATGTGAGAGTTTTTGGGGTATGTCAGTGAAACAGCAGCCCACCAACCAAAACAATTAAAACACATATAAATTTCCGCGAGTGTTTAAATTAAGCCGTAATGAAAAGCAATAACTATACCTAAGATGTTTCTCACTTGAAATACGAACCTAAGGCGGGGTTTAACTAGTTTTCTTAGGTCTACCTCAAACCGGGTTACCTACTTTGTTTATCTCCAACAGTAAAATAAAAAGATGTACAAAAAAAAGAACGAATGATAGAATAAATACAGGAATAAAGGAAAAGCTCTGTAACTCTATACTATAGGTATAACATGTAATTAGACTAGTACTAGCCTATAGTAATGCTGTGAAATATTCTTAACGCCTTCTAAAAGGAATGGTTATGTATATAGTTCAGAAAATAGAATTTCGATGTGTATCTCTTCCTTAATATAAATATAAGTATTGTGCTTTTATTGATGTAAAGAAGAAAAAAATAACAATAATTTATAAATATTGTTTGAATGATCTTTGTTCGTTTGTAACTACTGACAAATGTATCAACACTTTTACTTCTAGTGTAGCTTCGTATTCTCTTTATAAAACATCCATACTAATTCTAGAACAGAACCGTTTGTAGTTTATAATAACCAGGAACAAAATATGCCGAAAAGGACAAGTGCATACAGAAATTTTGTAAATCCATGGTTGTTAACGTCAAATGTAATCACTAACATTTCTTCTTTACAACAGCAAATAAAGAGAGAGTTGTCTATGATACACATTCTTTTATTTCTGAAAACAGAATTATTATTTTAAGGTAGCTCGAAATAAGCAATATAGATATCTGAAAAGTAACGCCGATAAACTTGCAGGGGAACATCGAAATTGTCAGCCATCGACGTCATGCATTTTCCCGCTAACGTTGAGGTGACCAAGGGTAGCCACAATTTTGTAGATTTATTGCAATTCCTATCCGAATCCAGCACAGGGATATATATTTTTGATTTGTTATTTTGAGAAAGCATGACAAAAGGCAGTTAATGTAGAAAATGAGAATAATGACATTGTAAGAACAGCGCGATTTCCGCATTTCAAAGTTTAAATAAAAAAAAATACTTTAAGCATCTTATTTGTGATTTCAAGCTTGGCTTGAATAATAACTTAATTTTTCTTTAATGTAATTTATACTCTTATTTTCACTTATCACGGCTTCAAAATTTGTGACGAAGAATACCTACTCTAAAAATTTTAACTTTGCTTAACTTTTTTTTTTACATTAGTACAAAATCCCCAATTTTCAGCCCCAATTTTCTCGAAAACTAGCACAGTGACCTATGTTTTATTTGGTGATTTTTTTACAAATCGCCTAGGCCTACAACATATTTTAAAATTATAAAAATGACAATACAACGTGAAACTGTATCGGATGCCCTTCATACCTTTTCTTTCAGAAATAGCACCCATCTTAAGTTGTTCTGTAAGTGACTATGATCAGTTGGTTTTTTTATTGGTATTTTTTATAATACCTTTTTAGTTCACAGGGCCAAGTGAGCTTTTCTCGTCACTTGGCGTCCGTCGTCCGCCGTCGTTAACTTTTACAAAAAAATTCTCCTTTGAAACTGCTGGGCCAAATTTTATCAAACTTGGTCACAATCATCATTATGATATCTAGTTTCAAAAATGTGTCCAATGACCCGGCCAACCATCCAACATGGCTCACATGGCTAAAATAGAACATAGGGGTAAAATGCAAGTTTTGGATATTCATTTGAAAACCACTATAAATAGAGAAAATCTGACAAGGACAGAAATGTTCAGAATGATGAGATCTACCTATTGTCTATTTTTATCAAAACTGTCAGACAACTACTTATGGGAGTTATTGCCCTTAAATGACGAATTTTACCATTTTTGTTTCATTTTTGCCTATTACCTTGAAAGTTATAATAGATATAGAGCAACTCTAAAAAGAAAAAATGATCAGCAAGACAAGATCTACAAATAAGTATTCTGGTCTCTAGTTTACATGTTCACATTATACGGATTTCATTAACAAGGATGTGCCCCTCACACACGGTGAAGAAAATTTATAATTTGAAAATTGAAATCGCCCCGTTTGTCATATATTCTGGTACTGAGATGACTGCTGTTGTCAAATTCGAGGAAGCTGTCTCAGTGACTTCGTTAACATGTATTTCAGTAGGATACATTAATGGGATCCCATCAGAAAAAAAATGATTTTTAATGGAAAGAACATCATCAATATACCTGTACGTGAAATTAAATGATCTAGCTTCCTTGATCTTCTTATTTTTTTTACAATTGTTTGAAGGAACTCCGGCTCATATGAAAATAAGAAAAAGTCAGCTAGGAGAGGTTCCCATAGGAATCCCGACAACCTACTGGAAAATTCTACCTCTAAATTCAACAAAGATGTTGTCAATGAAAAACTCCAGCATACTGATCACTTGTTCTTCGGTGTAGCATGCTTTATATTTGGGCTCATTTTTAACAAGATCTGCAGAATTATATCCCACAACAATAGATTTATAGCGTATAGTACCATTTCTATAGAGAAAATCATTGTGGATTATTTCTTTAAGACGGGTTTTTATTTTTCATGTAATATGGGGGTGTAAAGAGTTGAAAAATCGAAGGTTTTGATAGAATTTATTTCAGAGAATGACCGAGATTTATATTGTTTAAAGAATCCACATTGTTAATGCCACTACGCGAGTAAACAGTGTTGCCGTATTTCTGTAACCCCTCTTTCACTGCGGACAAAGTGTTGGTTAATCTAACGGACAATATTGCTTGGTCGAACATGCAGATGATCGAGCCGGCAATGTACCGTTGTTTGTACAGAACTTTGTGAAGTTAAGGTTTCCAATGCAAACAAGGCAAGTCCTCAGATTTGTTGCTCATTGAAATATTCAATGTGCCATGCAGGACTTGTGGTTTGCCAATATCTCATCCTAATCAAATGTTACGTTTTTGAATGTTGGATTACCGCAGTGTTCAAGTATTCCCAATTCTTTGATAAGACACTCGAAGTAATAGGATTTACAGACAAAACAATATTTTTAAAAGGAAGTCACTGAACCAAGGGTTCCTAATGGTAAATTTGAAATTATGAATTTAACGGACGCCATCATGATTTCACTGAATCTCATTGGATATTTGTGTCTGGTGACATACCAAAATCCAACTTATCACCAAATGTATACTCCACGGTTGTCGCTAGTGGGGAAGGAACTAATTATCGGCCAAAAAAAGCTGATTGCATCAATTTTTTTTGTTGAGTTTCGAATTGCATAATCTTTAGTTTTCTGTATGGTGTTTTTATTTGGTTTCTCATTTTGACCCTTTTTCGTCGACATACGGTTTTTGATTGCCCTCTTAGTATCTTCCCCCTCTTCTTACTATCCATTGATTCCACTTACCGTTAGTTACTTATCATTGATTGAAATTTTATCTCTCGACCCTTTCTTTTGAAGATGTTTTCCTACCAACTTGTATATAACAAGTAATTCTGACCGCATTTAAAGATATTTCTCATGCTTTTCTACTTATAATTTATACTGTATTGACACGTGTTATTAATTATAGTTATAATAATATCAAAATGCAGTTTGAATTATTTCAGAAAAAAAAGATAGTAAAGAAAGTAATGCTTCCTGGAATTCTAGTATGCTTTGCTGTGTTTGAATCAACATATGCCATAGTATCAGAGTCGTTCCAAGACTGTCGACAGTTCTTTTACCAGCGCAAACCACCACAAGTATTTACTAGAATGGCGACCGAAAAATATCTCTGTGAAATATATAATGGTAGGCCTTATTTTGCAACATTTTATGATACATTGAGAAAAATTCCTGTTTACAGTGCATACAAAGTAGAACATTTTCATAGACCTAATAACGAAGAGGGCAAGAGAAAATGGAGGAAGGGTGAGGGTCTACAGACAAAAGATCAACCATTTCTCATTAACTACAATGGAGTTCAATTACATAATCTTAACAGAGGACATCTAGCTCCGAGATTTTATTTCCCTACTAACGAAGGAAGGACTGCTACTGACGTACTAACAAATATTGCACCACAATATGCATTATTTAACCAACTAACGTGGTTTAGCCTTGAAAAGTATATTTACGAAGCCTCAAAACATCATTGCAATTATTACGGGGGCACAAGTTATTTCGTTACTGGTGTTCTGCCAAGTGATAATGTGCCTCTCAACGGAAAAATTAATATCCCAAGTCATTTCTGGACAGCTGTTTGCTGCGACACTTCTAGTGTTAGTAATCTTAATAACCGTTTAAAAGGTTGGTCGTTTGCATATATTGGTGAAAATCAAAACACCAGAAACAATTTCATTGAGTTCTTTACCGTTAAAGACTTTATGATGATTAGAGGAATACGTGGTAAGTTCTTTGAATTATTCCAAGATATCATAAGTTTTGATTATCATACAATGAAGTCCCGGATCGTACACAAGTGTTTGTTTGACTCTGATAAGGCTGATCAAATAATAGCAGGTATTGTTATCGATATTAATCATGATCGCTTTCATTATAACGGACAAGCGCCTGAATTTCTTTTATAATCGAGAACGACTATTTTTGCAGCAACAATTCATGTTTTAGCAATAAATCTTCAGATTTAAAGAATGACGTTTTCACACAATGTGAACAATACAAAATTATCATTGAGATATTGACAGTTGAAGATATTTTTGAAGCACTAGAAACTTAAGTATGGATAGCACATTTTTTCTATCGAATTACATTTCACAAGCTAAAGATTATTTGATCAATACGGAAAAGAAAATTAAGGAAACTAGGAGGTCGTAGGAAATGGATGTAATATATTATACTGACTGATCTTTGAACTTTAAAATGCATGTTCAGTGATAGTTTTTAATGCTTAAAATCTGTATTCTTGTGGGATTTTGTAATATTATAACAAAAAAGTATAACAAAAATACCGAACTCCAGGGGAAATTCATAAAACTGACAAAATCAAACGCCAAAACCACTGGAATTCATTATATAATATTCGTAATTCATATATTCAGTTTTGAAACTTACTTCAGTTTTCAGGATATGATGTATGTAAATTATTAAAATGGAATATGCTACGTTGGCATTAGGTTATGAAAAAATAAACCTCTATAATGAATAAGAATCTTCAAGCAATTTTTCTTCAACATTTTAATGAATATCATTAAAGATTATAAAGGTCGTTGATGTAACCCTCTGGTCCTCCAAACTGAGCAACATTCATACCATATAATAAGATAGAATTGGACCTGGTTTGACAAAATGTGAAACACTTCAAACGAGAAAACCGATCAGTTGATGTTTGTTTCTCTTTACAAGACACAAAATCAGTTCATGCACAGCAAAAAACATACACAAAAAGCAAAGGAACAGCGCTTTTATTGCTGTTCTTTATCTCAATACGGAGCAACAAAACCCTCATAGGTGTAAATATAAAACTATGTAGAATATATTTCAGAAATTAAGGTATCAGATGAAAAGTGAAGGACTGGTGATCCTTGTAGAACACATATTGACTGATAAGTTTGAATAATACAAAAATGTATGGATGAATTCTGAAATTGAGGGCATATATTACCTGTTTCTCAGATATGAATTACCGGGTTTGGTGTACAAATAACGGATATTGATCCCGCCCCCGTAAAATGTTTGGTAGTGAAAAAGTCAACGTGGATAGGAATGAGAGCCAAGAATAGGTTTACCAAACAAAAGCTCAGATAAACCGGGATTATCTCGGAAATTTTCAGATATTCCGGTTTTTTTCAAAATTTTCAGATAAACCGGGATTTTCTCTGCTTAATGCATATTTGAGATAATTCAGTATATTTCTCAAAATATTAGATAAATAATTAACTGGAGAAAATCCTGGATTATCTGAAAAATTTGAGAAAAACCGGGATTATCTAAAAATTTCCGAGATAATCCCGGTTCATCTGAGAAAAACGATTAACTGAACAAGGAGACTCTGAAGCATTGGTTCGACCAATAGAAAGTCACGACACATTGGAGGACAATTTCATGGTCATAAGGAATTAAATGTAGAGACAATGGTGCATCTATACAGTTAGATAGAATGAAAGATAAGGCTCTTACGGGCAACGTTTTAGAAGTTATAATTTTCCAAATTTGATAAAAAAAAAACGTTGATTTATTCAGGATGTACATGTATGACATGTATATCGAAAATAATTAAGCTCAGAGGGATTGAACAATTTCGAAGTTTGTCTTGAGAGTTTCTTTTAATAGAATTTGAATGTAATATCCGTATTTTTCTTTATGAAGATAGTGAAATATGTTACATAAATCTGTCATCCGCACAATTGATTTGTCTAGGACAATGATAACTAAAATGTTGAAATAGGTTTAGCAAAGTTGAAATACCCCATTACGAAGTTCTTATACAGTTTCCTTATAGAAAGTTTGATCGTAAACTTAAGAGTGCATCTACCCACACTTAAGTGTACAATCAATACTTACGACCACTCTTACGATTATCTTAAGTATTATATAATACAGTCAGTTTTTTCGCCATAGGAAAGACTCATTTACTAAGTCTTAGAGAAATCGGCGAAATGTTTATATTACTGCAAATAATCGAACATAACCACACATAAGCATTCTGCGATTTCCCCGTTTCACCATAATAATGTCGTGCAACATTCCATATGTATTCAAAAACAAATTTCGGAAATCCATGACCACACAATTGTATCAGTACATTTTGTACCTATCGTATATTAATGTTCCGGACCATATGAGTATTTGGACCATATGCGTATACTCATATGGTCGGACCATATGAGTAATATACTCGTTTAGTTATTAACGGGCCGGACCTTATGAGTATTCAGACCATATAGGTATTTTTCGAATACATTCTAACTTCCTTTGCAGGAATACACAGCAGCTGCTGCTCCTTCTCTGAACCAAAATAGGCACAAGCTACTGACTGAATTCTTTTATCTTTTACTTAATGTCTGAATCTTGGTTTATCTGTTTTCTTGCATCGCTAGAGTCAATTTAAATTGCCTCTATCTTTTCTTCTTATTTTCATTTCAAATTCTTTATTACCTTGAACTTTACAGTTCATCGGTGCCAATATAAAATTTTAAAGTAAACAAGCAAACAGACAGAGAATGTTCATGTTATAATATTGTCTCTGATTTTAAATGCAGTAAAAATGTATTTTCCTAAATTGGTTGACTGTTTGATGTTCTTTATACTCAGAATTTTAATAAATTTGAACACACTTGGCCTAGACCAGTAATATTTCTTTATAAATTTTACTCTAGGCTCCATATATTTTGGACACGCTAAGATGAAATGGAATTAGTCTTCAATACACTGATGGCAAATTGAACATATACGACGTGACAACTCAATGCTTTGGTAGCGTCCAGTTTCAACTGCAAAAGAAAATCTTATTTTAGAAAGTGCTCTCCGGTACACAGTAGCGATATAATTCGTCAAATAAAATTGTAAATCAATAGATATAAGAAGATGTGGTATGAGTGCCAATGAGACAACCCTCCATCCAAGTCAAAATGTATAAAAGTAAACCATTATAAAATGCTGTTTATAATGTGTTTATAGATACGACACTTACCACTGCAATTAACGAATACATCTCCTGTTTTTTAATATCTAAAAGTTGTTGCTTAATAAGAGGAAAATCAATCTAAAAAACCGAGCTTTGACTGTTTAAACCACATATCTCCAAGTCCAATGTTGTTTAGTTAATCTCTAATTAACTTTGCCCAATTTACAGATTTTGATAGTTTTCGATCAATATCGATACACATTTCTTTATATACGGAGCTTAAAATACAGTTATTTGTTGACAGGATTTTGAACCACTATTTAAAAAATATGAATTTTCCTTTTAACAAGCATTGGAAGTCTTCCTAGTTCCAGGTATATGATAGCAGAATTTGTAGACTGTTTCAAAAAATTCAGAGTACGAACCGTTGAAACGAACACAAGACTTTGTCACTTCGTACATAGAACGCACAATTGTCAATAACTTTCCACGTACTCCTACATGTGAAAGCTTCATCCAAAGTTTGTACGATTTATACAATCAAACGCGTTCTTGTAGTCCACAAAACCGCAGTAGAGTCGTTTCTTGTCTGATAATGTCCTATATATAAGAGAGTGCAGTACGAATATTGCATCTGCCGTGCCATGACTTTGTCTAAATCCAAATTGTGCGTCGCTTATAATGTCGTTTGCACATGCCCACTTTAGCAGTCTTTGTTGTCAAACAGCCGTAAATAACTTGGTTTATCCCTCTGTAATTATTAGTAAAGTTTACGTTCCCTTTATTTTTATAAACCGGTATGACTATTGCTTTGCACCAAGACTTTGGAAAGTGTCCATTCTCGAGAACAGCGTTGAATAACTCTACTATAAATGGAAGCAAAAAGTCGCAAAGTTCAAGGAAATATTCGTTTAACAAAAGGTCAAGTCCGTGACTTTTACTACGCTTCTATAGTTTAATAACCTGCTCAACTTCATTATTTGTTATTTCAGCATCAAGCTCATCGAAAACACAACAATTACTTTCTTCAGTTGATTCGTTGTCTAAATCAAAATTCATTTCCAGTCCAAGATCTTAAAAGTGCCCATAAAAGTCGTTTAATTTCAAGTTTTTTTTAAGCGTTTGCTTTTTTGGCTTAAACTTTGCATAAAATAATTTTGGGTTTGTTTTGCGAATAACACTAAGTATGTCACCTTCTTGTTTCATGTATTGACGTTTCAGATAACGTTCCTTTAATTTGTATGTTTTCTTGCACTCGTTTAATGTTTTATGATTATTTGTAGAACTGTGGCTATTAAACGCATTCAATGCCCTGATGTAATTTCGACGTAAAGTTTTTAACTCATCTGAAAACCACGATTATTCAAAAGTTAGCTTTGCGTTTCTGTTTTATATTTATGTCTTGTCGTAACTTTAATCAATGTGGTCTTGCTCCTATTCATACGATATTACTGTCATAATAAGATGGTATGAATGGGAACAATATAAATAAGAAGATGTGGTATGAGTGCCAATGAGACAACTCTCCATCAAAGTCACAATGTATACAAAGTTAACAATTATAGGTCAAAGTACCGCCTTCAACACGGAGCCTTGGCTCACACCGAACAGTAAGCTATAACGGGCCCCAAAATGACTAGTGTGAAACAATTCAAACAGGAAAACCAACGGTCCAATCTATATAAAAAAACGAGAAACGAGAAACACCTATGAACCACACCAACAAACGACAACCACTGAACAACAAGCTCCTGACTTAGGACAGGTGCATAAAAATGCAGCGGGTTTAAACGTTTTAACAGGCGCCAACCTTCACCATAACCTGAGACAGTAGTGTAACATTACAACATAAAAAGACACACTATAAAATATCAATTGAAATGGCTTAACTCGATCAAAAAGACATTTAAACAAAAACAAGTAAACATACACTGAATGAATAAATTTGATCTATGACACAATATAAATACAATATTATAAACGTATGTGCCTATATAACACAGACGTTACAGGCAGTAATCAAAAAGATGCAGGAAGAGTGTCAATAAGACAACTCTTAGCTGGGACAAAATGGCGTTAAATAAAACAACGTTCACAGGTAAATTTAAATATAATAATTTTGTTGTTAGGAGTACGGAAGTAAACATTTTTTACAAAATTAATAAATTTGTTGTTCAGAGTACGAGTACAGAAGTGAAAATTTATCGTATCGTCATACTAAATACTTATCAAAGGTGGTACATATTAAAAATAGTGAGACGAGATATAACACAAAATAAATAAACATTGAATTACAGAAATGCATTACACATTGTGTCGACAGGTCAAATTAACACGAACGAACGATTTGAGAGTACTCGCAGTTACTGAAAGCTAGTTAAAAGCCAAAAAAAAATTAACAATAAAAAATCATGCATCAGAGACTAAAATCAATTAAAACACATCCCAGGGATTTAGTGTTTTAACGCCAAGGACAGTCAAAGAAGACATGACTTGTGCAATGCCAAAATAAAAGTATCGACAGGCAGTAGGATCGTTACGATTTAACCTTATAATAAATATGTATCATGTTATAAATATAGACAA